ATATATATATTTAGAGATGATGGAACAATTTGTTGTTACTGTTCTAACAAAGTCGAAATTCTGTTTGACTGTTCTTCATTTCAAAAGACCCATACTGGTTTTAGGTATATTTCTATAACTTGGAATATTAAATCAGTTTTAAACTAGTGTGGTTGTATTGCATTTATTGATATTTATAGAGAATATTAGGTCCCTACACCTTAAAATGTCAAGAGTTTTGTGATTAAAAATAAAATCTGAATTTTTCACCTTTAATATAACAGAGCAGGCATTGGCTGGTTACTGGTTTCACGGTATACTGCGATATAAAAGCATCACGGTTTCAAAACCGCTAAAAATTGTCATCATACCAATCCTACAGTTTGAGCAGTTTTTTGTAATGACTTGTCAGAGAGAAAGTGGAGGTCAGATTCAGTTGCAGAGCCATGACCCCTCCCTAGGCGCACCCCAGCTCTGCAGGTTGTATTGGCTTTTTAAATCTTATTTTCAGTGACTGATCACTTTATGTTGTAGCCAGCTGTGTCTACATTTTGCTGGTTTACCTATCAGAACCCAGTGTGTCTTCGAATCAGATATGTTTCTGTTATCTAAATCATGAAGTGTCATCATATTAAACTATTGAATTATAGTAACAATTCCTCTCATCTCGCCCCCCCCCCCCTTTTTTTTGTGCATAGTCTTATTTGAAATTTTGGGCTGCCAGATCCAGCAAGATTTCAAATAGGAAGGATTCTTTTCTTACTTTTATGCACTTGAATTAACCAAAATTATTGTTCAGTACATTTTGGATTAGAAAGCTTRTTCTACACCCTGCAGGGCAGGTTAACAGCCCCTCATGCTGYGGGAGAGGCTATTTTGAGTTATYTGTGCATTAGCTGTTTGTTAAAAAGACTACTTGCGGTTTAATTTCYTTTTTTAATGATAACATATTAATGTTACCAGTACATGCTATTTTGTTCTCAAGCACAATTATCTGCAGGCTTTTTAGAGACATGATCTATCTTTGCAATATTTATGCAAGCAGCTTCTTACATTCATTTATTCTTTATGTYCAACAGATTTGTTTCAAAGTGAGTTGTACATGATAACATGTTTATGTATTAACCATTGGTAAAGCTGCAATTTGCCCATGAACGAAAAACTGGACTAAAAACCACTTATCAGATATTGGTTACTTGAACAGTGGCAGCTGTAATACAGTAACTGTAATTTCCCCTTGAGGATCAATAAAGTATTCTGACAAAATAAAGTAAAAAAGAAATTTTTGATTGGTTCTCTAAAAATCAATCCTAATAAGAGTGTTATCAGCTGAGTCACACATGCTGTCTGTTCTACTTAGAAGAAATTTACCCATGACTGATCCCAGGATGATGCCAATCCCCAGACCTTTACTCAGCACAATCTTCAGGCATGGCACTACAACAAAATAGATAGAAACCAGTCAGAACATTCCTGTCAAACAGCAAAACACATGCAAATGACAAATAAAAGGAGGTTAGTTTGTTAGGAAAATGTTGCAAATATTGCTATTCCATAGATCTCAAATGGGACAGAAAAAAAATTWAAGGATGAGAAACTCCCTTAAAGCATTTGGAGCTGAAAGGCGATTCTTCATTTAAAACAAAGTCTGAATAAAGCACTAAAGTCTTTTATTTACCAAAAAGCAAATAGGAATCTTCCAAATAGAATGCATTGCTACATTTATTAAAAACTGATTCAAATTTGTTTGTCTCCAATGTTGAGGTAGGTGCTCTTTGCCAAAACGTTGGGTTATTTGGTGACCAAAGTGGCAGAGCTATGAAAAGACTAAGTGTTGCTTATAATGAAGTTGTGAAAAACACTTCAAGTTTGAACAGTTTTTGTTGCTGTAGATCATCATATTTTTATTTTTTTAAATATGAAATGGGGAAAAATACAAAGTATAGGGACTTGATAAAGCACTATATAATACGCACTGCTCAAAAAAATAAAGGGAACACAAACAACGCACGCTAACTCCCGATCTTAATCAATGAAATATTCGCATTGAGTGCTTTGTTCTGTACAGAGTTGAATGTGCTTCACAAAAGTTTGATTTACTTGGACTTAGCGTGCGTTGTTTAAGTGTTCCCTTTATTTTTTTGAACAGTGTATGTTCAGGCTATTTACCATTTACCATCTAAGTTAGTACGAATGCTAATTGTTAGTTTGTGATTAATATTAGTTTCTGACACGTTGAAGAGCCCTATATGTTCCAACATTGTTGTCCTGTCAAAACTGAATTAGGGAAAAAGAGTGTTCAGCTCTGCTGACCGTTTGGTGTGAAACAGACTGATCAGTCAGTCAGGATTCATTAACCTCCAGTTCAATCCTAACAGATTTTTCCATTATTTGTATTTTATAACTATTGCCTGTTCTTTTATTTTATTGCTTGTATTTTCTTAACCATGGTGTTTAGTCATTGCTAATATCATGATTATGCTTTGCCCTTCACTTTGAAATCAAACCTTGATATAACACTGTTTAAGCCAACATTGCAAATTGTTTCGATTAGTCTTTTATCATGTGTGCTCCTGACATCCTGACCAGGTGCCCCTTGGAAAAGACATCTTGATTTTGAAGGTTTTTATGGAGGTAAATTTGTGTTTTTATGATTCAATCAAACAAAAAGCATCTTCAATCAAAAAAATAATTATTTCAATCAAAAAAAA